GCTTAAAAAATATTAGAAAAAGAAGAGAAGAAATTAATGCTATTCACCCATCAAGTCCGACTCCACAAAGCCGAAATGTCCAACAATTGCCTCCTCTTCGATTGGACACCCCCGTAAGTAACCGAAATTCTTTACCATTTAACAGGTCACTGCCAACAAGAAATTTACAACCAATCCCCCCGTTAAACATTACTGCAGTGGCTGTTCAACAAAATTATAGAAATTCTGGCTTTAGGCACCCTTGCCTGTTTTGCAACGACACCAGCCACATTACCACCTACTGCAAAAACTTTCCGGAGCACAATTCCCGGATTGCTCGGCTTAATGAATTAAACCGCTGCACCCGATGCCTGCAGCCCAATCATAATTTTAAAAATTGCCCTAACCCTTCCCAATGTAAAAATTGCAATAAAATGCACCCTCGTCCCCTTTGCTATAAAATCCTCGCAAAATTCAGCCAAAAAACAAATATTTGCAATAGCCAAATCCACACGTCAAATTATGCATCCCGAAATTGCTATGAAAACAATACCCACCAACAACCCAAAACTTATGAAATTAATCAGCAAACAAATACTATCGGGCATTACTGTAACTCAATCACACCTCAGCCCACGATACTACCGATAAATGCACAAATAACCCCTTGCCAAGCAAACAGAAATTTCTCGCCTCCCCCAAAAAATCACATCGTAGAAACCAAAAGGGCAGCTGAATTCTCAGCCCATATCTTGCAAATAAATCCTCCAACCCCCATATGCAACACAATTCACAGATCGCACTCTTACTTCAACCACAATTACGAAAAAATACATAAAAATTTGCTTCCCCCTCGGCCGAGTGTCGATTACTCGAATTCCTCCACCTCAACCCCCTCTAACTACAAAAAGAATATGAAAGTACAAGCTAAAACAAAAATGAAACAACAAAAATTAATTCCTACGGCCAACAATGCACTTCCACCAACAATTATTAAAACAACAACAACAAACCATCCCCCCATTAACACAACAACAACTGCTAAATCGACGTTTTGCAACAACAAATCATGGAAGAAACACTCTTTTGCGAAGGAAAATTTAGCTAATAAAGGTAAAAATGTTTTTGCTACGAAAAACCCCATATTTTTTAATTCACATATACGTGCCCGTTCTTCAACTCAACCCTTGACTGATGGTATCCGTCCACGACCTTTAATGTCTCTTCATGTGCCACGTCTACATCACATCCAACACTTCCCTCAACCCTACCCCAACATGCCACAACAGAATTTCCGACTCGCTCAACTGTCCTACCAATTCAACTCACAGACACTAACACAATACTACTGGAATAAAAGAAATGGAATGTTTCCGTTGCTGGGGAATGTCGTTTCACGACTTTAAAGATTAAAGAATTTATTTTTTTTAATTTATTTTCAATTTATTTTTCCCTTTTTTAACGACACCTGCATTTAAAACCTTAAAAACAAAATTCCTTTCCTAGACCAATGATTGTTTATTTTCAAAATGCTTATCCCTCCCCTTTTTTTATTCAACTGAATGTATCTGCTTATTTTTGTTCTTCATTCTATTTACTTTTTTGCTTTTCATTCATTCGGCTTTTTCTTTCTGATTTTTTGCTGGTTTTACTTTGCTCTTCATTCTAAAATATTCTTTTGCTGCTGATTTAGCTTTTGCTCTTCCTTCTAAAAATATTCTACAATTTTGCTCTGGACTTTACTTAAATTTTTGCTTTTCAACCTTTTTGCTAAAAACTGATTTTTTACTGCTTTGGATTAAATACATTTTGTTGGAAATTTTTAATTGCTTTAAATAAAATTTAAATTTGTTTTTTGCTTGAAAAATTGTGTGAGTTTTTACTAGGCTTAATTTTTACTATTCGCGGACTTGCCCTTTTCCGCGACATATCGATTTTCGAAAATTAAACAACTCTTAAACACCGCCAAATAAAGTGCATTTATTATTAATTGCCTATAATAATATTTTAAAATCAAAAGAAAATGCCGAATATTTATTTATCTATTTACGATTAATTTAAAAAAATGCTTAATCGTCTTGTTTTATTAGATTTAAATGTTAACAAGAAAGCACGTCCTTATTTTTATTGTTAAGAAATAGCTAAACACTAATGTTGTTCACGACCGGTTATTAACCGTTATCCCCGGTTTTGGGTTAATCAAAATTTTAAAACCCCGGTTTTCGGTTTTGAGTTTTAGGCAAATACCGGTTTTATTTTTATTACGACCCCGCTTACGTAGAGGAAGATAACAGAAAGTTTATCACACGTAGAAAATACAAGAAGATGACGTTTGGAAGACGGAATAGACTGAGAGAGCGAACTAATTATTGGCTGGCTTTTATACTAAACTCTTTAAGGGCTGTCGCCCTACACAACAATTTTGGGAAAATTTTTAATAAAATCACTCATTTTTAGAAATTTTCGGTTTTTTTTTATTTTGTAAAAACGGTTAATTTTTGGCAAAAAATATCAAAATTTTTGTTTTTAAATCCGATCGTGAGCAACCCTAGTAAACACCTAAATCCGAATATTAATTAGTATTTCTCCTTATAATTTTAGCTAAAACTAATGCTTAAACAAATTTTGTTTATTTTATTTTTTAATTTTTGTTGGGCGCTAGATGTTAAATTAAAAATTGGAGAAAATTACCTTGAAAGTAGACAATTTGATTATCTAAAAAACTTTCAACAACCAATTAACTGTTTTTTGTGGTATAGAATTGGGGATAATGAGGATATATTTAGTGGAGAATTGAATGAAAATATTTATTTATTTAAAGATGTTCCAAAACAAATTTATGAAAAAGATACTGAAGAAAAGGAAAAATTGAAGGATGCTGAATTTCGTTGTGAATATGAAAAGCATTCAATTTTATCAGAAATAATTCCTGGGAGAAAACTTGGGGTAAATTTTTAATTAAAAATTATAAGCAAAGGATCAGTTCTGAGAGAAAAAGAGATGTGTTTTGCACTCCCGCCGAACTACGACGTCTGTCCCCTAAAAATCCAAACAATCACTTGTTTGGCGCCATTGTTATGTCTGAGGGTTGTCTAAGATATGCTAATGTCGACGAGCACAAAAATAACAGTTTATCCCATGTATAAGTAACAATGTAGGCAAAGGTGAAAGAGCCGGAACAGACGACGGAGATCAGTGACCAGCCTCGCTAGTATGATCCAGTTGGACTTACGCTTACACTGGCTTTTATACATCACTACACAACGAATTACCACATTTACTGAATAATTACCCTAGCTAATTAATCATTCAACCTGTCGCTAGAGTTAACAAAATACGTGTATTCTTAAGTATTAGGTATTTAATAAAATATATTACTTTTTTAGAAAATTCAACGGAAATTATTTAATACACACAACAGGGATAATAAATATGAAAATTTAGAAAATATTATATATCATATTTTAATATCGGGAAATAAAAGTTTTATCCCCAAAAATATGAAAATTAAAGAAAAACAAATTGATCAAATTAATGAAAATATTGATATGTATCGTAAAATGAATTTGTCAAATAAATTAAGAGAAATTGATTTGAAGGCTAGAAAGATTGATTTAATTGAGAAAATGCCAGAAGTTTATTTGGATAGAAAGCAAAGCTTACTGGCAGAAATTAAGGAGTATACTAAAATAATTCAATCAGGTTATTTTTTGTTGTAATTACTAATTTATAAGCTGGAATTTATAAGCATTTAAATGTAGCAAATGAAAAATAAAATTTACTTGAGAATTTCTTAAAAATAATAAAAATCCGCATCCGCAATATTATTTCAAAATCCGGATTACACAAATCAAATGAATGTTAATTTACTCTATCTGAAAGCCTGATTATCGCTCGTACGGCTTGATTAAGTGCTATAAAGGGCCTACACAAAAGCGGACTTCAAACTGTCGCAAGTAAAGGCGATCTTGAATTTTTCATAATACTTTGTAGGGCTAGTCTTCACTATGATATTATACTAAGGACTTAAAGATATGAGAGAGATTGAGGCATCACATTTGACACATTTGAGACGTCCAAAACCTTGCACAAATTATGACCCAAGACAGAGAATCTAATTTTATAATTTTAGAAAAATTTATTTTTCGTCTTGGAATAAATGAAGCAAATTGGTTATTGGTTGAAATTGCCTATCTTTTATTTAATTTAAATTATTACATTACCAATTTTGAAGATAAATTTTTCTTATTTATTAATGAAAATACAGAATTTATAAAAACAATTGATATGCTAGTCACTAAATATAAAAAATTCAATGCATTACTAGAAATTGAAAAAGAAAATTTGTTTAAAATTGTGGAAAAAGAAGGGAATAATTTGTTGGCTTTAGGTAAACCCTTGAATTTCAAAAATTTAATAAATTATAAAAAAACTGAACGTTACTCATTAAAATCGACGCTTTGATCAAATTTTGTTTGAAAAGCTTGATCAAGGATTTTGCTGTGTCCGCACTTGCAGAATGTTTATAAACGAAAATAAATATAACACATCATCGGGTTGGATGGTGGCACAATCGCTTGTGCTTTGGTCTCGGCTCATTCCATGGTTTCAGTCCATCTCCCGTCCAATGAATTTTTCCACAGCAAGCTTGAACACGTATATAATAAAGTTGTTTAACAGTTTCAATAATTAGATTTTTTTTCAAAATGATTTTTTAAAAGAGTTTTTGAAAATATTTTCAGAGAATTCTCGAGAAAGTTTTAATCTGAAAAATTTTTCTTCATTGAAAAATTCGCTTCAGGTCTATTGGGATCTGAACATATCGAACTTGCCTTCCGGTTTTTTTAGTCTGATCAAACTTTCAATTTTTTCAGATCAATTATTTGTTCTAAGCTTTGGATTTTAATTTTACATTTGGCTTTTTCTAATAAGCTGTTATTTAACTATGTACTTTTCCTTAATTTTAAAAATATTTTTTAGAAGAAACATCAAATAAGAAAGAAAATCATTTAAATAATTTAATGACTTTATTGAATATTCGTATATTTTTGGAATTATACAAAAAATTATCACTAAAGCTAGGATATTTAAATTTGGAATATGATGAACAAATTGACAAAATTATAAACAAGATCCAATATTTTACAATGAATAACTACAAGGAATATCTTAATCCGACGGACAAAAATCTTGACGAGAAAAATGAAGAAATTAAGAAATATGAAATTAAATTAAACGGAATTATTAAAAATTTTATAAAAGGCAAAATTAAAGTTGATATTATAAAAGTTTCATTGGAAGAAGGATTTCAATACATTGGATACGATATTAAGAAATTAAAAGATTTAGGGTTCAAGTCGGAAGTTTTAACAGATGAGGTAAATATGGGGGCTTTATATAACCACCCCCCCCCCTTTCTTGAGTGTCTCAGATCTTCCTTAATATGAGTATAATGGTCAGATTTACTGTCTTCCTCAATTTCACTCCCTCCTCGGTAAATTCGAATGAGAGACATTAATAAATAAAAGTGACGTAAATTATATGATAACACGAAACGGTTTATTCGAAAAAGTGAAAAGTTGTTATAAAATAATGGGTGTTTGTTAAGTTAGTAACCGTGTTAACAAACGACTGATCAGATAAAGTTCCGTAATATATTTTGTTATTTTTGGGATGCTCAGCCGCTTTACTATATCAATTTATAATTTTATGCTTACATAGTTCAGATTTTTTGTCTAGTTTAGTCTCATCGACTTCTGAGTAACTAACAAAAACATTGCGTAGAGTAATTTAATTAAGAAATATAAATTGTAATATTTCTAATTAAGGAAAGAATGAAGAGGGCCAAGATTATCAAGTTGTTTTGTTCTGTAAGCAAATATTATGGAATTGAGGCAGATGTTGCAAATCAACTTAAATTGTGCCCACAATATGTCTTCAAGACAATCAAACTATTTGAAAAATTTGGAACTTTAGAAGGGCACATAAAAAATAAAAGATTGAGTCGCTATTGTGAACAGTTCTAAAATTCCGCATAAACTGTGAAGAATTAGTTTCAGAGTAAAATTATAAATCTATTTCAGTAAAATTCATTTTTTTGGAAAATTCTATTTCAAAATTTATTATTTAATTTTTAAAATTATTTATTTTTTATTTTAAATTTTTATTAATTTATTTTAAATTTTTATCTTAGTTTAATCTTAGTTATTTCCTCAAAATATTTATTTAAATATTATTTTTTAACTGATTGTTTAAACAAAATGACTTTTAAACATTAGCGGTCATTTTCAAAATTTTTCTTTTGCGTCTAAAATATTTCAACTTGAAAATTGTAGCTTTAAAACATTTCTATACATATCTTTAATTTCTCGATAAACTTTAACAATTGGGCTTATATGTATTGTATTAGTTTTATAAATAGCTTATATTATTTAATTTTGTAAAATATTTTTTTATTTTTTAGATGGTATAAGAACGTCTTAAGCTAAAATAACCGCGTATTAGATATAACAAACAGACATTTAGAAACTATAGTTCGATGCTAGTGGTTGTGCTTATTTCCACCATAACTTTTTGAAAGAAATAAAACTGAATGTTTTTATAAATACCGTATTTATTCTAATTAAATGGCCTCTCTATTTAAATGGCCCCTCCAATTGAATTACAATTTTTGGGGTATCGGTAAATAGATGGCGATCATTCAATTAGAATAAATACGGTATATTAAATCGTAGCTAATTTAGTCTAATAATTCAACCTAATTTAAAAAAATCCTTCACAAAAATATACAATAAATATTTTATTTAAAATTTTTTGAGAAGAAAAATATCAATTAATAGTAAAATAATAAAATCTAAAAAGTAGAATTCTTCTGATATTTTTTACAAAATTTTGATAAATCTCAGCTTTCAATCAAATTCCTGTCAATTGTTAAAAAATTATATAAAAATTGACAAATATTTCTAGAAATAGTAAATAAAAGGAGCTCTAAGCAGTTCTATTTTTTATGGCCAGCTATTTCCGCTGAACTGATACAAATGCTCATAAAACCAGACTTGCTAATGGACATGGATTTTGGTATTCGTATCCGGATATTTACGGCGGGTACAGACGGATATCCGCAGGCATTTTGAACTTATCTGTATCCATATCCTTAACCATTATCAAGCCTGCAAAAGACTATAGATGACAATTTTTTATAAATTTCCCAATTATATAATCAAATCTGAATTTTGTTATTATGTAAAGGGCACTAGATCAGTCCTAACAAATAAGTGAAATCGGTCCTAAGCCAAATCGTCGTTATCAGGTCTAGATCGTTACTTAACATAATCGAAACTCAAATCCAGTCTCCCCTTTATTATTCTAAACCTAAATTTACTTTTCTAAAGACAAACCAATTTTTCAATTCAGTCTTTGAGGAATAAAACAATTTAAAAGAAATTCCACTTTTATCTTTCATAAATTTAGGTAATCTATATCCATCAATGATATTTTTACTTAAAACTTCAAATCTTTCTTCCATTTCTGATTTATTTAATTCTCCAAATAATTGCATTCCAATAAGTCTAATTTCACAATAAGTGTCATTACTAAAGTAAATTTGTAAAATATAATATATAAAATATTTATCAATATTCAAAGATTTGTTTGCTTATAGTTTTATAATTCATTCAAAAAGTCATTCATTTTTTGGAAGCTAAGCAAGATCCTTAGCTATCAAAACTAATAATCATTAAGTTTCTTAGTGTTTTTTGATTCTTGCGAGGAAGGCCCTCAAGGAGAATTGAGGCCCTGAAGGAGAATTTGGGCTACAAAATGATTCTAAAAATATCTAAAAGTATAAATCATGAAAAAAGTTATGATGGAATGAAAAGTGTGCAATAACATTCTGGTCACCCTGTATTGTAGGGCACAACCGGTTATCTGCCAGTTTCTTAAATTTGGGTTAAACCCAAAACCGGAGTTACCGGCTAATAACCGGTTGTGTCCAACAATAGCATAATACCAAATAATACCAAAAATAAAAATCCGGACCCTAGTTATAGACAATTGTTAAATCAAAAATGAGCTTGAATTATATAATATAACCTTCATAATATTGTTCCCATATTTTAGGTTAGAACAATACTCGAAATTTCTGGCAGATTGAATATTGGTATAATATAGGACACAACCGGTTATAAAACATGAATTCTTGAGATATTTTTCGAAAAAATTAACAGCTTTTATGACAATTTAAAAGCCTAGAACCGGAAATTTATGTAAATAAGTGACTTTATAAAATTAACCGAAATACAATCAAAACTCAAAACCGGGTTTCTTAAATTTGGATTAACCAAAAACCGGAGTGCAGGCTAATAACCGGTTGTGTCCTACACTAGTATATATCCTAAAAATAAAATTCACCCTAATAATTTTGCTGCTTCTCCTTTACAAAATTCTTCTTTAATTAAATTAGAAATATGACAATATTCAACTTGATTAAATTCGTTTTTCTCTTCAATTGTCCAAATTAAATGTAATTTAAGTTTTGTTGAAGCATATCCACAAAAATGTTCATTTCCTATTTTTGTAGCACAGACTGCCAAAATAAAATGTTCATACTGAAAAAATATTTTTGTTGGGTATCGGCTTAGTATAAAAGCCTTCCTATTATTCAGTCGTGGTCTTAGTCTTATTGTCGCAGTGTTATTCTGTTATTCTATTCTGTCTCCACGTATTCGGCGTTTAGCCATATTCTATTGTTCGCAACCTATTGTATTTAGTATTGTAGATAAAGCACAGTTTGTTAGTCACTGTCTTATCTTGTTGTTATTCTTGTTAGTACGTAGACATACAAGTCACGTACATAACAGTGGCGCGGTCGCAGTCGTGAATCTTTTGATTCCATAATTCGGACAATTATTCGGATAATTATTCAGATTCGGGGGAGTATTCGGATTATTCGGAGATTCGCAGAGCACATCAGATTTTTGTTCAGAGGAGACGGCGTCAGTTGAAGTGTGGCAGGCATTCAAGCCGATCGAATTCATCTATTCGACAAGGCCTAGCAAACCTTAGTCAATTTTAGTCGGACCAATTCGAGTTTTGAAAAGAGTTGTTATTATTCGGTCCAGAAGTTTGGTATTTTGTTTAGAAGATTATTCGATGAATTCGAGCTTGACCATCAGGAGCAGAGTGAAGTGAGCATGTTGTATTCAGTATTTTGATTATATGAGGAACCGCAGTCATGGGCAAGATGTAAGTCCCGATTATTTGTTATTCAAGGCCGCAATGAGTAAGTCGGTCAAGTGGACGTAAGACGGTCAAGTATTATTCAAGTCTGAGACAATTATTTAGTCGCTCCAGAGAAGTTAGTAGATAAAATTTTATTATTCGCTCCATTGATGAATTCCTATGGCATTATTCAGTTTGATTGAGAAAGTATTCAGTTATTCAAAAGAGATTATTCGAGAGAATTTAAAAGTTAGTCAAAATGCCATTTAGGTAGTTATTCGCCCAAGTATTAGAAAGTAGGGCAGTATTATTCAGGGAATTGGTGAAAATCCCTACCCAGTGTTGGGTTGATTCAGATTATTCGATGTGCTTCTGCTTTGTTTGGATGTTTAGAAGTTAGATGTTGATGAGAGGTTTTTTTGGGACATTTGTGATAATTGTGATAAATTTTTGTTTTGTTGTAAATTTTTTGTTTTTGTTTTCCCCCAAAATGTTTGTAAATTTTTTGTCCCATTGTATTCAAGGCGGTGTCATTCTGTTATTCGATCCGAGAAGTTATTCAATTCGGACCCAACCTAACAATTCTATTCAGTAGCAAATTATTCAAGTTAGTCCCTAACTTTTTTAAAGGAGGGAGATGTTAGGTATGTGTGGGTCTAGTATAAAAGGAGTAGTTAGCGATCAGTCTCGGTCGACACCTGGGTCGACCGGCGCCGTCTGTCCTTCATCATTCTTGCCTTTTGCCACCTTCACTATTATTGTATTTAGTCTTGTAGATAAAACACAGTCGTTAGTTACTGTCTTATCTTGTTATTCTTGTTAGTACGTAGACATACAAGTCACGTACATAACAGTGGCGCGGTCGCAGTTGTATTCGAACCTGATTCAAAAGGTATTATTCTTATTCGGATATTATTCAATTCTAATTGTATATTCTAGTTAAAAATGGACACAGAGGCAGTAAAAATGTTAGGCGAAATTCTGAAGTCAACGCAAGATTTCATGAAGGAATTCGGCAAAACAAAGGAAAAAGAAGATTCAGAAGAAGAAAAGTCAGCCGAGCTATATTGCAAATTAAATTCTGTGATTCAAGAATTCGAGTTTGATTTGGACAAGGGCAAAACATTTGCTTCGTGGTTCGAGAAGCATAAATCATTCTTTGAGAACGAAGGTAATTCTTTAGCCGAAAATGTTAAAGTCCGATTATTAGTCGCCAAGTTAGGGGGTAGTGAATATGCTAAAATTTCACAGAAGTTGATGCCCCAGAAGTTAGATTCGATGAGATTCGATATTCTGATTCAGGAGTTAGAAAATGAATTCGGAGACCCTCGGTCCAAAATTGTGAAACGATTCGAAGTCATCAAATTAAGATGCCCCTGTGTTGAGAAAGTGTTAGATTTTGGGGCAGTGGTTAATTCTGAATGTGAAAAAGCAGAGATGGCGCTAACGGTCGAAGATTCGAAAATTCTTATTTTCATTGCAGGGATTCCCGAGGAAGCCAATGATTTGCGCCAAATTTGCCTGCGATTCGTTGAACGACATTCCAATTCGGATCAATGTACATTCAAGCAATTGTTAGAAGAATGTCGCAGTTATTTGGCAACAAAGGCAGATGCGAAAGTTTTTGAGAATATTCAGGATAAGGTAAAATTCGAGCCTGATTATTCATTCGAAGTAAATAATGTTAGTAAAATTCCTATTCAGGCTCAACCGATTCAAAATTCGAAAATGAAAGAGAATTCTGAAAATGAATTTATTAGAAACAAGTACCAAAAGAAGTTCAACTACAATTCGGGAAGTCAACGATTCAACAACTATTCGGATTATTCAGAGAGCCAAAACAAATTCAGAGACATTCAGTGCTACAATTGTGGTCGTTTTGGACATTACGGACGTGATTGTCGTAAACCTAAAGGTTGGTTAAACCGATTCAATCGACCACAGATTAATCATGTTTCTATTGATCCAGATTCGTCAGGAACCTTTTGTGGTATTACGGACATCGTGAATCCAAATGCTATTCTGATTAAGCAAAAATGGATTACACAAAAATTGAAATTAAACGAGAAATTAGTTGAAATGATCGTTGATTCGGCAAGCCAAATTAATATTCTGAATGAAGAGATTTGGACAAAAATCGGAAGTCCAGAATTAGCCAAAGTTGATTATTCAGGCGTCGGCCTAGGGAAAACAAAATTCGAGATTGAAGGGAAATTCAAGGCAATTGTAGAATTATTCGGAATTACGTCAGAAGAAGAATTCCATGTGGTCAAAGGAGATGTCAATATTTTGGGCTTGCCAATATTGAATAAATTTCGAACAAATTCGAGGATTCTAGCAAAATTCATTCCAAAAGAAGTATTCAATTCTCCAAAACAGAAAAAATGGCGTAGTCCTCAACCATTCTTGAAAAACGAAGAAAGTCCATTCTGGAAAAAGAAAATATTCAAAAACGAAGAAACGCCCAAAAGATGGCATAAAAGAAGCCGATTCGCCAACAATGAAGAAGTGTTAGTCAAAAACACAAACAAAAACGGAAAAACGTTATGGCTGCCTGGGAAATTAGTCAACAAAGTAGGGCAGAAATGGAGAATTGAAGTCCCTCGCCTCAAGTGCATTGTAAGCCGGGAAGAATGGCATATTCGCAAAAAGTATTGGTTAGAGAAAAACCAATCAGATTCTGATAATTCTATTGATGAGCAAAGCTTAAAGCTCAATCAATTATTCAATAAAAATATCAATTCGAAGAAAGGCGATTCAAACATTCAAGAAGATAATGCTAAAAATATTCCAGAAGATGATTCTATTGATGTTTTAGATGAGCCGAAGCCGATCGATGAGAAGAATGAAGACGATGAAAAGATGAGCGGTATTAGCATTGATGCTTGATGTTTTGAGATAATATATGTTGTTGTGATAATATTTTGTTTGTATGTATTTTTTGTATTGCCCCCTTTGTAATTATTGTATTTTGCCCCTTTGTATGTATTTTTTTTTGGTTGGAGACATTATTCGGAGGTATTATTTTATTCAAGAGAAAATTATTCTTATTAAAGGAGGGAGGTGTTGGGTATCGGCTTAGTATAAAAGCCTTCCTATTATTCAGTCGTGGTCTTAGTCTTATTGTCGCAGTGTTATTCTGTTATTCTATTCTGTCTCCACGTATTCGGCGTTTAGCCATATTCTATTGTTCGCAACCTATTGTATTTAGTATTGTAGATAAAGCACAGTTTGTTAGTCACTGTCTTATCTTGTTGTTATTCTTGTTAGTACGTAGACATACAAGTCACGTACATAACAATTTTTAGATTTCCAATTAACAGATTTTGTATTTTATTATAATATACTAACATTTAACGCTGGTTACTAAACTTTATCTTCTCAAATTTTACTTTTCGTACATATGTAGTCTTTTCCCAACCCCGGGAACTTGAACACCGGAATTGCGAAGTAACTTAATAACTATCATTGACTGTGAGAAAAATCATGAGATTATGCTTATTTTCTCAGCAAGTGCGAATAGCAATCTAATCTTTATTTTATCTCATATTTCTAATACGAATATGGTTATGCCAAAAATAAGGTGCTCGGTTAATTTAGAGTCTTCCTGCATGCAAAAAAATGCTCATAATAATCCATTGAATAGGAGGATTACACCTTGGATACACTGATCTATTTCTAATTTTTTTAATTTTGAAATACTAGGGTATTATTTTAAACAAACACCTTTTCTTCAAATTTAATTCCCTTAATCCACCTTTCCCATGCTTTTCCAATAGCTCCAGTTCTAAGACCGACAATATTAACCTCCCTTAACATCTTCAGCCCCTCAAATAATGTTTTCATAATTATTTTATGTGTTGAATAATTAACGTTAAAGGCTGCTGATTGTTCTGGATATATTGGGGTTATTATTGGCATTATTAATCTTGAATGCTTTAAAAGCCTAGCCGTTGTTTCATTGTTTCTTAAATTTCCAAATAAATCATTTAGAGGTTTTATATTAGTTTCCTTTGCAGATATTTCTTTAGCGATCGACCAACTGTGTATGTCATTCATTTTTTCTGGAGTTTTTAATCGGACAGGTGTTGGCCAATTCCTAAAATTATTTTTGTTTAATTATGTAAAAATAGTTTCGAATATATTGTAAATAAAGTTGTGCCGACTGGCAATCCTCGCCTTTTCGATTTTTTTGGCCTCTACTTAAAATTGTTAAAACTCCGCCCATTTTTATTTTTACCTGCTCGGCTGGCGCTTCCTCCCATAACATTAAATTGACTTACTCTTCTTCTAAAACTTAAACTTTTTAACCAAATTACAAGCGCCAGCCGAGAAATACATATAGGTATTTGGAATTTAATTAAAATAAATTTTTCTTCTTTAATTTGCGTTTTTATTTCTTGGGGGGTTAAACCGGGTAGGATTAATTAAACAAATTGCCATTTGGCACAAAAGTTTAATTTACCATGTCAGATATGTGAGAAAGAATCGCTCAATTAATGCAATTGTAGATGCATTCGGATAAAAAAGAAAAACTTTTGCTAGCAATAAAGTCAATGCTGCTCCGTTTAAAAATCCATTTATGTTTCCATATATTGAATTATCTTTAAATAAATACAATTATTTTTCAAGATAAAAGCTCTAAAAATATCATACATTGAATTACTAAGAATACTTTAATTTTAGTAATAAGGTGTCTTAGATATAAAAAAATTTTCATTTTGATAGAAAGATTAGATAGAGTAGATTAAGATTTACTATTTTTTATCTTTTCTCAGATTCCGACAGAAATTAAATTTTTTGATCACCTATGCTAATGTTGGGTCTTATAAACTATTTGGTTTTCAAACAGCCAAGAAGCCAACAGCTAAAACAGACAACAGTAGCGATTGACGGACATACTCAAAGGTCTTTCGGATTCATAAAAATTATAAAGTTCTTACTTTTTGCCCATATCTTAAGAGCAATTAAAGCATTACAAAATGTAATAGGCATTTTATTATTTCCTTCATTATTTAACAAATTAATTAAATATTTATTTGAACTATATCCAGACATTGGTTGTAATTTTGTTAAAGCATTATTCTTGTTACTAGCCAAAACAGCATTTAACCATTCATCAGAATTTTCTTTCAAAGGCCATTCAGGTAAACCAACAAAAGCAATATCTATATCCACTCCAAATATTTTAAATTCTATCAATCTTATCCATGCTTCTGTTATCCTTTTAATGTCAGTTACTCTTCTATCCTGATATTTAATAAAACAAATTATAAATAATTTTTTAAAACGAGAAACATCGTATAAGGCTCTTAGTTAGAGCTCTTAGTTAGGTTAGGTTAGGTTAGTTAGATCTTAGTCAGGTCTTTAGCTTAGGTCTCTTAGCTCTTAGGTTCTCAGTTAGGGCTCTTAGTTCGTTCTAAATCAGATGGCACTCTTTCATCATAATCGTGCATACTCAAAGGGCTAAAAGAACCCTTCATTTAAAATTAACATTAACTTAGCTTCAAACTTTATTGTGAATTAAAACCAAGCATATAAACACTGATGAAATTAACTAAAGAAGATCACTTCATTCATTCAGCTGAGAGACCCGACCGTACAGCCATCAAGTCTAAAGGGAGGAGAACCTATTTCTTATACTCGGTATCCATTACAAACTATAATAGGTAACTCATGTAGAAACTAGCAAAATATAACAAGCAAATATGATAGATCAAACCCTAAATTAAAAAACAAACTCGACAAAAGAAGCAAAACAAAGACTGATCATTACATTCCTCTCTTTTACCAAATTGACAATTTACATTTTCAGTGCCGAATACTTGATTTAATCTTTTTTCTTTGATATCAATTTCTATATTTTTATTATCATCGTTTATTTCTTTATTTATTTTCTCACCTTTTGAACAAATCAAGGAGGCTAATAATGGGTTATTCCCAAAACTTCCGCCTTCATGTCTTAATCCCTCACAATTTGAACTTGTTGGCCTTTCTAGCATGTTTTTATATTTTTGTAACTCTTCAGAATGATTTTGTTGAAATTTTGGAATATTTATTTTCTCGTTTTCATTTTCTTCTAAAATAACAACAGCATCAACATCAGAATTTATTGTATTAATTCCCAACATAACAGAGCCACTTATCAATAATTTACTCAAACACCCAACTGTTTGGGACCATCTTGAATAATGTTTTTTCAATACTTTTACTGCTTTATCACCAATTACATGATCACGTGAATGACCCTCGATTAGTTGGAACAACTTAATTTTAAATAAATATTACTCTGGTTGGACGGTTTTGGTCGGACAGTGTCTTTGTAACTGTTTTGTGTCTTTGGAACAACTTTCCCAGTTGAAGGGCCAACTTCCCACGTTGAAGTAACAATATTCCCCGTCATTGGAACAACATACCCCGTCGTTGGAACAACATAACCCGCTTGTGTAACAACCTCCACGTAGTACATAATTTGTGATAATTTATACTAATTCTTTTACTCAAATGACAATCATTAAATGTCGGTCCTGAAAAGTCTGTCACCAAATATCGGTCCCAATCCTCAAATTCTATCCTTAAATGTTTGTCCTCAAATGTTGGTCCGAAAAAGTTCATCCCCATGTTTCGCACTACGATTTTGTTGACTAGTATTGCCCTGAGACTGGAATGTTATAAATTTCTTCAGATTTAACAGAAATAGGTATGTGAAGATAATTTTGTGGATTTTAAAAGTTTTTTTCAAAATTAAAGAATTTCTTTAGGTTTGGTATTCCACTTAAACCGTATTAACTTTAAAATATTTATAGCTATTTATGTTGAATTCATATTAAACTTTGGTTTAGACGGATATTGAGTTGTTATTTTTGGACGCCTTCATAAAAACAAGGCTAATGATTGAGATTTTCGGTTCGAACCTAATTTGAAAACTTTCAGGTTTGTCGGATATCGGTTCCAGTTTTACTATTCGGTTCTTCAGAGAACTTAGGATTTAATATTTCTTGCCTAACTAAAGCCAAAACCATTTTATTTTACCTTAGTTGAGGTAACATCTTTTGTTTCAAAATTAATCTCTTGGAAGTATTCTGGATTTAAATACTTTGCAGGTCCAATTCCATCATATATCTGTGTATCTTAAATGAAAAATTTCTTTTAAGGTTTATCAGGGTTGGAAAATAAGATAATAATTTGAGAAAGCACATGTACATGGGGATTGAAGTATCTATCAGTCATCGCGTCGACAGAAAATCAAATTCCCAAATTTCGAAAATTTCGAATTCACGATTTTCGTGAATAGTGAATTCACGAGCAAAAATCGTCGGGAATTACGATTTTCGGGAATTGTGAATCGGATCGGTGCGATCTCTGATATTCTGAATTATTCTGAATTCTGTGCACAAAATTAGTCCACTGAATTCGTTATCAATTAAAATAGGGGCCAGGATGTCGGTTCGAGGCTAAGCTTTTACCTTTTTATTATAAATATACTGTATTTCCTCTTTCTGAGCGGCCGGCCGCTCTAGTTTTCAGACACTTTCAAATGGCCGCGTAGACGGCCGTTCAAATGGAGGAGGCCGCTCAATTAGAGAGAATACGGTAATATGATTTTAATTTAATAATTTTTTTCAAAAAAATAATTCACTATACCCAAATCTCTTTGTTTTTTATATTTTTCCCATAATTCAAAATCTTCATTTAATTTAACAATATCATTAACATTTCCTTCCTCCCCCTCAAAAAATAAAATTTTAAAAATTTCTTTCTTTTTATCCCCTTCAATTTTGTCTTTCCATTCTTCATTAATTAACCCAAAATTTTTTAAATGTAATTGTTTTTTAATTTTTAAAATAATTTCTTTTTTATTTTTCCCCAGATGTCTTCCATCGAATATTCCTTTCATTATATAAATAATTTCTCTTAAAAATTCAAATAATTTTGTTTCAAATTTAATAAATGTTTGACGATTTGATATTGCTAAATTAACTTCTTTTTTATTTATTAAATTTTCCCATTTTTCTTCCAAACGTTTCTGCAAATATTTCTTTTTTGGAAATTCTGGCAAGTCTGTATTATATTCTATCTTCTTTTCTTCGGTAAAGAATATATTTGATAAATGAGGGTGGTATTTCTTTAGGTAATGAATTACCTTAAATTAGAATTATATCTATCTAAATTTTGCAAAATTTTGCTTTTTCTCATATAACTTACTTTTAATTATCTCATATACAATCCGTTAAGATTGCATATACAATCCGCTAAAGGTCTGGATCCTATGAAATCCCCAAATATCCAGATCAGGGGTAGGCGTAAGAGACAATCTCAAAAAAGCAAATCGCAACGCAAGGCCAAAATTTAACGCAAATAACTCATAACTCAACCCCTGATCCGGATCCCCCCTCCTGATCCGGATCAGAGCGAATTTTTCTGATAATTCTGGTATTAGTCATTCTAGTATTAATTACCCATGCGCATTAATAAGACTGCAGGCTTGTTAAGAACAACGAGCACCGTGTTCCTATGGTTCGGGCCGTTAGTTTATAATTTTTCTCTCATTATAAACTTAAACACGCTTAACTAGATTTTACCTTAAATCTCCCAACAATTTCTCCTATACATGCTGCCACATTCAACAAATACTTTTTTCCACTTTTTGGATCTTCAATAAAATCTTTATATATTTCCAAAATTAAATTAGAATTATTTTTTCCATTAATTAATTCATCAATATTCCATTTTAATATCAAATCTTTATCAAAATTTATTCCAAAATAATCATCATCTTTTTTAATAAATTTATTTTTCATTTTCTTTTTAATTTCCAAATTTTTATTAGATGATGAACCAATTTCCTTCGGTGATTTTGGAATATTTTGTGTTGAAATTTCGTTGGAAATTTCATTTGAACTTTCATTTTTAGTTTTTTTATTTCGATTCTTTTTATTTTTCGCCTTTCCCTTGCTAAAATTATTATACTACATATTTTAATGATGACTAAAGTGAACCTATTTTTTAACTATATTTAGATTCTTACTAAACAAATATCTATACTTTTTTGTTTACCGTAATAATGTCTCTCTCAAATGAGTACCCCCGCCCTATTAAATACTCCCTACAGCCAGAGATTAAAAAATTAATTACCCCCCCCCCTTAAAAACAGTTATCATTATCTTTTCTTAAAAAAGCTCAAATAACTACCCCTCCCTTTTAATTACAACGACCAGCGATAGGTTGAAACAATAATTACCCTGGGTAATTATTTTAGCAAATACGGTATGTAGAAACAATGGCTGTAGTATAGTATACCGGTGGGAGGGTTTCGATATGAGACCCATACCATTCGATTCGTCTCGGCGAGCTGAGTCGAACGGCACCACTCTTTTTTTCGTAGATGCCTGTGGACCGAGATATAGGTCCCCGAAAATCGAAAAACTCAGCTCGCCGAGACGAATCGAATGGTATGGGTCTCATATCGAAACCTTTCCACCGGTATACTATACTATATCCGAAACAATTCTTGTTCTTTTGCGATACTATCAACCCCTATCAGTGTTTACAGTTTTTTAATAGATATAAAACCTTTTATCTTTATTGCTGCCTTCAATCATCATTAATTGTTTATCCAAATTATTGTCCCAAATCTCTTTTGATTTATCTAATATTTTATTTTTGGAATATTTTTCTAATAAATCAAAAATTAAATTATAATTATTTTCTTCTATAAGAGTAGATAATGATTCCATCAAATTTGGCTTACCATATTTTTCAAGTTCTGAATTTAAAATTTATTTAATGGACCCTGCCACTAATTAAAATTATTTTTTATGTGAAGTTCGATATTAGGTTTCTCAAATAAGAACGTTTCTCTCTCAATTTAGTTTGATTCATACATATCAACATGATGTAATATTGAATGAATCAATCATTTTTTTCTTTTACGATCCTTTACCCAACCCTTACTTTTTTAACAAGTTAGAAAATTTGGTACTTTTCCGTTAATCGACCGTAAACTGAGTATTAGCAGAATTCAAACAGCTATAACTTTTTGTTGTTTGATCCAATACAGATAAATTTTATATCATTCGAAAGCCCTTGATAGGCTCTATCTTTTCCAAAATTTATGATCAGGTCTAATCACACATAAAAAAGCTACAAGTCGATAAGTGCAAAACTCATTGTTTTTCACTATTATCAGGGTTAAATTTTCTATGAGAGATCAGACCTGATCCATAAATTTGGGTAAAAGATAGAGCTTATCTAGGGCTTTCGAATGATATAAAATCATTTGATTGGATCAAGAATTTATAGCTGTTCAAGTCCGGCTGTTACTTAGTCATTGGTCGATTAACGGAAAAGTACAGAAAATTTTATATTTAATTTAGACATACTTTTTTCAATTTCTTCACGAAAATTTTCATTTTTTATTATTAACTCTTTTATTTCCAATAAATGCTTCTCTTTTAACCATTTTTTAAAAGGATTTAAATCTACATATTCTTCCTTTAGAGAGGAACTAGCAGATTCCTCATCATATTTATTCGTTTTAGATAATTCTTTTTCCTAAAATTTAAAAATACTATAGATCCCTCACTAAAAATGGTTGGTTTCTAGATGTTTATTCACTGAAATTCTATTTAATACACATGTCATCTTAACATTATTAAATACTTATAAATGTCCAATTGTCCACTGCCCATAACTATCGAGACTAGAGAAGGGGCATTTTACATCCATTCCCAAATTACCCCAAATTACCCTCTATCTTTTAAAATTTTATATTCAGGGTAAAAAAAAACACCAACCCACTAGCAGGATACCTAAACACAATTCTTGATAGAGATCGGACCAAACAAATGTTTGACGTTGGAAAATCAAATATTTGATCAAATTTTATTTGATTTTATTTGAAAAATAAAATCAGCGCCTAATTAATGCACTGATTTCTATGTAGGGATGGAATTTATATGGATTTCCATATTTTTTCCTGGTCTAATTGGGTAGTGTAACACACGAAAAGCGTAGTTTTAGCATACGTTGATAAGACTGATAATGAGTTATCAATCCATATTTTTCATATTTTTTCATATTTTGCCCCATCCGTATTTATCCCTATTTATATGCATTGAAAATGCCTAAATACACAATAATTTCTTTTATAATTTTTACTACCTCTATTTCAATATCTATTCCAGTACATCCCATATCAACATCCATTCTATTCCTGACAAAGGCCATAGTTTTTATTATATAATATCCAGTTCTGCCTCTAATCTCGTTAAAAGAGTCGTTATAAACAGCATCATAAAGGTTGAAATAAACTGATAATTCTTCGTCAAATTTTTTTCTTGCAGAAAAATGAGCGTCCTCTATTTTCCATTTTTGTTTATTTCTTAAATCAGAAGTCATAGAACGATACCAAACAATAAAATCAGCGCCTATTCGATTAAATAATTGATCCTTAATGTTCTTTGGAAATAATGCTGGGATATAATGCTTGATGAGTAGTTGCCGGTCCATTAAAGCTAAATAATTTATTTTTGCTTTGTAATTTTTATTGTTTATTTAGCTGACTAATGATTTAGATTCATTATTATATTCATTCAACATTCCTAACCATGTAAATAACTTTCCTAGCATCTCCTAATTAGTATTGTTTCAAAATTCCGTCGATTTCCTTATTGGAAGCGACAATTTTTTAGGACATGGCTCAGTTTTCTTTTTTTTCGACAGCAAGAATATATGCCTTAATAAATCTATTTTAATCAGTCCGTTTAATCGCACTAGATATGTAGTTGATCCTCTGCGCTTACCGCATTCAATTCACACCCCTTGCCTAGCTCTAACGTATAGCCTTAACGCATAGCTTTATCAGCAAAATTTTTATCATTAATGGTTGATAGAAATTTTTACTTACAATTTTCGGTTACAATTTTGAACTCGTCAATAACTAATTTTTTGAAGTAATCTCCTTCCTTTAACAAATAATAAAGTGCTGCTTTTGTGCCATTAATCAATTTAAATTTTTCTAAAAATTCTTTATCTGTATCAAATTTATTATGTAAATAATTATAATGATCAGTTTGTAGCAACTTTCTAGCTTCATCTCTAATTGAGATTGTCGGTATTTCCTCTTCTTCAAATTTTTTTATTAAAATTTCTATTTCAAGCTTGAATTCATTAGGCCATTCTGTGCATTTGAGTTGTTTTTCTTCATCGAGTTTATTATAATCATTGATCAAACTAATGCTTTTAACTTGAAAAATTTAATTATCGTATAGATTAAAACAAAAATCTAATTATTTATTAACTGTATAAGGACTCGACGTTATTCTAAGCCAGATCAATAGTTATCTGAATCTAATCGACAATGAACTGCATCATTACGGATTGGTTGATACCATTGTTATTGGAGACCCCTTAACATTGGCCCCAATAATTCAGCGGGCGGCAAAGGTTAAGCAAAAAGCCTGCGACTCAATTACTGTGGTTGAGTGCGCGACCATAGTGGGCAACTTCAGTAAGCGTCTGGGCGCGTTATCTTGGCGTATAGAGGACATTTTGAATATTTGTTATAATTTATCTTTTCTTTAGATATTAATGATACCTAGTGTTCGGCACGGTTCAATACTCTCGCAGTACTCTCGAAAGTATTGACTCGGTACTTTTCGGTACTAGTGGTATTGGTATTGAAAAAATCCATTTGCCGAACACTAATAATAACTTTTTCATAGATTTTATAAAATTCAAGAAAATATTTGAAATAAATTTTATGCTTAATAATTATAATTATTTTTAGAGAATCTTTATTTTTTCATGTGTTTTTTTTTCAAATTATAATTGATTAAATTTACCGAGAATATGTACTGCCAATTGAAAGTTTTCTTCTGTTATTTTTTCATAAAT